TGAGTGTGAGGAGCACGGCTCACACTTGTGTCTGAGGAGCACGGCTCACACTTGAGTGTGAGGAGCACGGCTCACACTTGTGTCTGAGGAGCACGGCTCACTCTTGAGTGTGAGGAGCACGGCTCACACTTGTGTCTGAGGAGCACGGGTCACACTTGAGTGTGAGGAGCACGGGTCACACTTGAGTGTGAGGAGCACGGCTCACACTTGTGTCTGAGGAGCACGGCTCACACTTGTGTCTGAGGAGCACGGCTCACACTTGTGTCTGAGGAGCACGGGTCACACTTGTGTCTGAGGAGCACGGGTCACACTTGTGTCTGAGGAGCACGGGTCACACTTGTGTCTGAGGAGCACGGGTCACACTTGTGTCTAAGGCGTGGAGGCCCACAGGTGCCTACCAGCCCCCACCCACAACACGTGGTTGTGTCACCTTTACCAAAGCGGCTCACGGGAAGGGTACGGGGTCCACTGTCATCTACGGTAGTGGTTCACTATAGGGATTATAAACCTTTATATCTCCTGGTTCTTGTTCTACCTTGTCGCTTGTTGAGCTGGAAGCTCTTGCTCCTTCACTGATACACAAGTTGTCCCGATACTCATCCTCCAAATTGTTCAGTATTTTTAAAATGTCGGTCATGCCTGTCATGTCTGTCATGCCTGTCATGTCTGTCATGTCTGTCATGCCGGTCATGCCTGTTATGCCTGTCATGCTTGTCATGCTTGTCATGCCTGTCATACCTGCCATGCCTGTTATGCCTGTCATGCCTGTTGTCGGAAAATCCGACACCATTTAATATAACATACAGACAGATAATAATTGCTGCTGTAACAAGTTAACCATAGAAAATGTAACTTGTAGTGGAATTACCGTCTATAGAAAACGGGATATCATCACCACATACTATTTTAAATTCTTCACCTATTATGGTGGGAATTATTCTTAAATACATTAGTCTTTGGACTTTACCATCATAAAAACATCTCATATAAATTAACTTAATTATCAGTATTAAAGTAGAGTAAATGTGACCCTTCTATCACTTATTGACATCTGGACAATGTAAGCTAGGCGTCAGGGTGAGGGAGGGCAGCCATTGTTGTTGTCACCTCCAAGACGCGTGGAGCAAATTCGTCTCCTATCATATCTGGACAATGTCGGCCAGTAGCGTCAATAGTATGGAGTGTTAGACATTGCCATTGTTTATACTAAGACCAGAGGCACACGGGAGCAAATACGGCTCCTGTTAATTTTACTTGGACGAAGTGTTATGGAAACCAAAGGTGTACCATTATCACACGCTGTCAACAAATTCAAGTTAAGTGTCTTTCCGAAACCCGTATATCTATCATTAGTGGCCATTAATGTCATTGGGTAGGGTGATCCTGTTAGATCACGAAATCGCCTCATACTAAAGGTAATTAAGCCAGGTCTTCATTGTTCCATGTACAGTATTTTCTCTGACATAGCTTGTCATATATAGGTATCTGGCTTTACAGCTAGCGCCCTTTTGACAGGTCAAGACGAGGAAGCATGCTTTGTACATCAGTTACCAGGGTGATGGAAGCTACCTCAAAGAGGGAAAATGTGGCGACTACAACCTAGTTATACCTGGTGGACTAAAGCTTGCTGTACAAATAAGATAAGGAACCTCTTCAATGTATGTAGTCTAATACTGTAGTTTGATTGGCTGCATATATATAAATTAAATTAATGTAAACCCCCCTAATGTGTAGAGGATCGATTTGTGAGATTGAGATTATTGCAGAAATACAGTCCACTCATTATCATACCAATTGCTATCGAAGTATATAGATTAACGTAAATATAAATTCATATAAATTAAATAAATATAAATCTCACAGGTCGGTTCCCACATTATTTGGTCCTTCGAAACCGAATTATTTGGACCTTCAGAACCGGAATATTCAGTCCTTTGAACCCACATTTGGTCATCTTAGTACCGGATGAACCAGTTAACCAGTGGATTCATTAAATAAACTAGTGCAGTGTGATTTAAACAAGGCCAGCCAGTCAAAGACGGCAGCGTTGCCTCAAGCCAGTTCAGGAGCCCCCTCAACTGAGTTCAGCCTCATCAGCGGTTTCATGCACACCCACAGATATTTGGTGGCGTGTTATTTCGTGAAGTGACAGCGCTAATATTGAAGCCAGCCAAATTAGGGACTGTGTCGCAAGATTGTTCACGGATTTCGTGGTGTTAAATTTTGCGAGAGATTATCTACGAATTTTGTGGAGTTTATTTCGCGAGGTCACTAATAATATTTAATACTTCTAGATAATATTAGAAGTTTCATAGAGGCTATTATCAATAATTGTATATATTATTTCTCCAAAATAGAGAATTATTTAATATAAATTGCACTAGTGATCACAGTATAATATTTACTAATTGCCAACCCACAACAGGGTAGGATATTAACCATTGACTAGTTGAACTATTATCGTTCATCCTAGTCCCATTATTACCATAGTCAGTTGTACTATATTGATCAACCTAACACCATTAATGAATGGTGCTGACCCTATTTTGGGTGTAATTTTTATCAACTCGAGTTGAGTTGTATATATAATAATTTACTTATGATCATTACACCTTTGAGTGATTAATTAGTGTCTCTACCATCCTAGGGTGATATAGAAGAGCTAACCTAAAGGTACTTCCAGTGACACTGGTTTATCACTCAAATCATTAGTGTGTATGATTGTATATATATAATGTGTATTAATTTTAAGTGCTAACCTCTAGTGGAGGTAGGATTACAGCCTAGTGAGTGCAGAAATTTACCCTAGGCTACCATCAGTACTTGTTCAGTATTATGAGCGACCCAAGTACAAGCCCCACAAGGCTTCACCAACTAGCCAGTATGGATAATGCAGGGAGAATGAAAAGAACCCTTGCAGGTCTTAAAGGCCACTTAACAAGACAGATCAAGAAATGTGAAGATTTGTTACAACAATCTCCAGTTGATTATGCTGACCTGGAAAGCTATTATCAAGCAGCTGCAGGTAAATTTGAGCAAATCAAATGCCAAATGGCTGTCCTTGTGGGGACAGACTACTACCATCGATTCATCGGTAGCCCTACTAAATATCAGGGCATAACCATGTTAAACTCTGCAGGAGGTAAATTACTCTCAGGCCCAGTATCAAGCCTGGGGAGACCTATGCCTGCAGATAAACAATACCAGTAGAAATCTAAATTTGTCAGCTGATTATATTTCTCCAGTAGCATTATACTAAGGAGATTACAGCTGACTATACCAACAGAGGTTGATGTTAGTATCATCATTTAGAGCTGAAGATGAGTTCATGAGGCCTCAGTGGCAAATCAGTGAACAGTAGCCTAAAACAGCTACAAGTCACTGCGACCAATGTCACTGAACCCACTGCAGTCTCATAACCATACTTTACTTTGATGATGAGCTATTCAATCTTCTGAATCAATTAACTAAATTAAACCCCAATAAAGCTGATGACTGATTTGATACATTTATTATTTAATCAAGATGTATTTCATGGGCCTCAGTGTTTATATATCAGTGACCAGTTACCTGAACAAACTTCAAGTTATATCTAATGTCACTGATCTCACTGCAGTCCCTGAATCATACTTGACTGTAGTACTTGATCACATCCAGTCTTCTGGGTTAAATAATATGTAATAAGGCTTGAATATTAGCCTTTCAAGAGTTAACAGGGAAATGAAATCACATTAGACTTCTAACCCCTGCAACTCTAGTACGGGACATCCGTCCTGTACGAACAGGCGCACAAATGTGTGATTACTAACTACTAACATCAAATTAATCTAATAATCCAAAGGAGGAGTATCGGTGTTCGTCTGTTCTAAATAGGACTTCGACCCGTGAGCAGCCCCTGGGGAATTATGTCGGAAAATCCGACACCATTTAATATAACATACAGACAGATAATAATTGCTGCTGTATTATAAACAAGTTAACCATAGAAAATGTAACTTGTAGTGGAATTACTGTCTATAGAAAACGGGATATCATCACCACATACTATTTTAAATTCTTCACCTATTATGGTGGGAATTATTCTTAAATACATAAGTCTTTGGACTTTACCATCATAAAAACATCTCATATAAATTAACTTAATTATCAGTATTAAAGTAGAGTAAATGTGACCCTTCTATCACTTATTGACATCTGGACAATGTAAGCTAGGCGTCAGGGTGAGGGAGGGCAGCCATTGTTGTTGTCACCTCCGAGACGCGTGGAGCAAATTCGGCTCCTATCATATCTGGACAATGTCGGCCAGTAGCGTCAATAGTATGGATTGTTAGACATTGCCATTGTTTATACTAAGACCAGAGGCACACGGAAGCAAATACGGCTCCTGTTAATTTTACTTGGACGAAGTGTTATGGAAACCAAAGGTGTACCATTATCACACGCTGTCAACAAATTCAAGTTAAGTGTCTTTCCGAAACCCGTATATCAATCATTAGTGGCCATTAATGTCATTGGGTAGGGTGATCAGGTTAGATCACGAAATTGCCTCATACTAAAAGTAATTAAGCCAGGTCTTCATTGTTCCATGTACAGTATTTTCTCTGACATAGCTTGTCATATATAGGTATCTGGCTTTACAGCTAGCGCCCTTTTGACAGGTCAAGTCGAGGAAGCATGCTTTGTACATCAGTTACCAGGGAGATGGAAGCTACCTCAAAGAGGGAAAATGTGGCGTCTACAACCTAGTTATACCTGGTGGACTAAAGCTTGCTGTACAAATAAGATAAGGAACCTCTTCAATGTATGTAGTCTAATACTGTAGTTTGATTGGCTGCATATATATAAATTAAATTAATATAAACCCCCCTAATGTGTAGAGGATCGATTTGTGAGATTGAGATTATTGCAGAAATACAGTCCACTCATTATCATACCAATTGCTATCGAAGTATATAAATTAACGTAAATATAAATTCATATAAATTAAATAAATATAAATCTCACAGGTCGGTTCCCACACCTGTCATGCCTGTCATGTCGGTCATGTCTGTCATGCCTGTCATACCTGTCATGCTTGTCATGCCTGTCATGCTTATCATGCCAGTCATACCTGTCATGCCTGTCATGCCTGTCATGTCTGTCATGCTTGTCATGCCTGTCATGCTTGTCATGCCTGTCATGCCTGTCATGCCTGTCATGCCGGTCATGCCTGTCATGCCTGTCATGTCTGTCATGTCTGTCATGTCTGTCATGCCGGTCATGCCAGTCATGCCTGTCATGCCTGTTATGCCTGTCATGCCTGTCATGCTTGTCATGCCTGTCATGCCTGTCATGCCGGTCATGCCGGTCATGCCGGTCATGCCTGTCATGCCTGTCATACCTGTCATGCCGGTCATGCCAGTCATACCTGTCATGCCTGTCATGCCTGTCATGCCTGTCATACCTGTCATGCCGGTCATGCCTGTCATGCCTGTCATGCCGGTCATGCCTGTTATGCCGGTCATGCCGGTCATGCCTGTCATGCCTGTCATGCCTGTCATGCCGGTCATGCCTGTCATGCCGGTCATGCCTGTCATGCAAGTCATACCTGTCATGCCTGTCATGCCTGTCATACCTGTCATGCCGGTCATGCCGGTCATGCCTGTCATGCCTGTCATGCTGGTTATGCCTGTTATGCCTGGCATGCCTGTCATGCCGGTCATACCTGTCATGCCGGTCATGCCTGTCATACTTGTCATGCCAGTCATGCCTGTCATGCCAGTCATGCCGGTCATGCCTGTCATGCCTGTCATGCCTGTCATGCCTATCATGCCTGTCATGCCTGTCATGCTTGTCATGCCAGTCATGCTTGTCATGCTTGTCACGCCTGTCATGCCAGTCATACCTGTCATGCCTGTCATGCCTGTCATGCCAGTCATGCCTGTCATGCATGTCATGCCGGTCATGCCTGTCATGCCAGTCATACCTGTCATGCCTGTCATGCCAGTCATACCTGTCATGCCTGTCATGCCTGTCATGCCGGTCATGCCTGTCATGTCTGTCATGTCTGTCATGCCTGTCATGCCTGTCATGCCGGTCATGCCTGTCATGCCTGTCATGCCTGTCATGCCGGTCATGTCTGTCATGCCTGTCATGCCGGTCATGCCAGTCATGCCGGTCATGCCTGTCATACCTGTCATGCCGGTCATGCCTGTCATATCTGTCATGCCAGTCATGCCTGTCATGCCTGTCATGCCAGTCATGCCGGTCATGCCTATCATGCCGGTCATGCCAGACATGCCTGTCATGCCTGTCATACCTGTCATGCCTGTCATGCCTGTCATGCCAGTCATGCCTGTCATGCCTGCCATGCCAGTCATGCCAGTCATGCCTGTCATGCCAGTCATGCCTGTCATGCCTGTCATGCCAGTCATGCCTGTCATGCCTGTCATGCCGGTCATGCCTGTCATGCCTGTCATGCCGGTCATGCCTGTCATGCCAGTCATGCCTGTCATGCCAGTCATGCCTGTCATGCCTGTCATACCTGTCATGCCTGTCATGCCTGTCATGCCTGTCATGCCTGTCGTGCCTGTCATGCCTGTCATGCCGGTCAGGCCTGTCATGCCGTTCAGGCCTGTCATGCCTGTCATGCCGGTCAGGCCTGTCATGCCGGTCAGGCCTGTCATGCCGGTCAGGCCTGTCATGCCTGTCATGCCTGTCATGCCTGTCATGCCGGTCAGGCCTGTCATGCCGGTCAGGCCTGTCATGCCGGTCAGGCCTGTCATGCCTGTCATGCCTGTCATGCCGGTCATGCCTGTCATGCCAGTCATGCCGGTCATGCCGGTCATGCTATTTTGTATTGAATTATTTTGTGTGATATTGTGTAGGAATTGAGCTGTGTTGTTTACCATACCGTTCATTCCGTTAGTATAGTTTATTTTTTTATTTTTTCATATTTTCATTACATTTTTTAACCGTTTTTCTTGTTTTTCAGTGATGGGAACATCAGACCATTTGGGAAGGCGTCGGACGAGGGAGTGGGGAATGGTGGGGAGGACAAAGGGACAGGGGAGTGGGGTATGGTGGGAAGGAAGAGGGGAAGGTGGACGGGGGAATGGTGGGGAGGACTGGGGGGACAGGGAAGGTTGCTGTGGCTGAGCGAGGCATGGCCGAGTACTGCTGGTTGATGACAAAACTGCTGAGAAAGTACCATTCAGTGAGAGTGCTTCTGGCGCGGACACACAGATGACTTAAGAGTTCACTCAGGATATACGATGCTTCCATTTAATGGTAGCCTTACCAAAGGTAATAGTCGGCACTCATTTGAATATAAATAAAGGATGCCAACATGAGCTAGAGTCACTGTCAGGAACCCAGATGCCACATCCTGGGAGGTGGGGTCACCCTGGGAGGTGGGGTCACCCCTGGGAGGTGGGGTCACCCCTGGGAGGTGGGGTCACCCCTGGGAGGTGGGGTCACCCCTGAGAGGTGGGGTCACCCCCTGGGAGGTGGGGTCACCCCCTGGGAGGTGGGGGGGGTCACCCCTGGGAGGTGGGGTCATCCCTGAGAGGTGGGGTCACTCCTGGTAGGTGGGGTCACCCCTGAGAGGTGGGGTCACCCCCTGGGAGGTGGGGTCACCCCTGGGAGGTGGGGTCACCCCTGGGAGGTGGGGTCACCCCTGGGAGGTGGGGTCACACCTAGGAGGTGGGGTCACCCCTGAGAGGTGGGGTCACCCCCTGGGAGGTGGTGTCACCCCTTGGGAGGTGGGGGTCACCCCTGGGAGGTGGGGTCATTCCTGAGAGGTGGGGTCACCCTGGGAGGTGGGGTCACCCCTGGGAGGTGGGGTCACCCCCTGGGAGGTGGGGTCACCCCCTGGGAGGTGGGGTCACCCCTGGGAGGTGGGGTCACCCCTGGGAGGTGGGGTCACACCTGGGAGGTGGGGTCACCCCTGAGAGGTGGGGTCACCCCCTGGGAGGTGGGGTCACCCCTGGGAGGTGGGGGTCACCCCTGGGAGGTGGGGTCACCCCTGAGAGGTGGGGTCACCCCTGGGAGGTGGGGGTCACCCCTGGGAGGTGGGGTCACCCCCTGGGAGGTGGGGTCACCCCCTGGGAGGTGGGGTCACACCTGGGAGGTGGGGCCACCCCTGAGAGGTGGGGTCACCCCCTGGGAGGTGGGGTCACCCCTGGGAGGTGGGGGTCACCCCTGGGAGGTGGGGTCACCCTGAGAGGTGGGGTCATCCCTGGGAGGTGGGGGTCACCCCTGGGAGGTGGGGGTCACCCCTGGGAGGTGGGGTCACCCCCTAGGAGGTGGGGTCACCCCCTGGGAGGTGGGGTCACCCCTGGGAGGTGGGGGTCACCCTGGGAGGTGGGGTCACCCCTGAGTGGTGGGGTCACACCTGGGAGGTGGGGTCACCCCTGGGAGGTGGAGTATCCCCTGGGAGATGGGGTCACCCCTGGGAGGTGGGGTCACCCCTGGGAGGTGGGGTCACCCCCTGGGAGGCAGGGAGGGGGTCACCCCTGGGAGGCAGGGAGGTGGGGTCACCCCTTAGGAGGCCGGGAGGGGGTCACCCCCTGGGAGGCAGGGAGGTGGGGTCACCCCCTGGGAGGCAGGGAGAGGGTCACCCCCTGGGAGGCAGGGAGGTGCGGTCACCCCCTGGGAGGCAGGGAGGTGGGGTCACCCCCTAGGAGGCAGGGAGAGGGTCACCCCCTGGGAGGCAGGGACGGGGGTCACCCCCTGGGAGGCAGGGAGAGGGTCACACCCTGGGAGGCAGGGAGAGGGTCACCCCTGGGAGGCAGGGAGGGGGGTCACCCCTGGGAGGCAGGGAGGGGGGTCACACCCTGGGAGGCAGGGAGGTCACCCCCCTGGGAGGCAGGGAGGGGGTCACATCCTGGGAGGCAGGGAGGGGGGTCACCCCCTGGGAGGCAGGGAGGGGGTCACCCCTGGGAGGCAGGGAGGGGGTCACACCCTGGAAGGCAGGGAGGGGGTCACACCCTGGGAGGCAGGGAGGGGGTCACACCCTGGGAGGCAGGGAGGGGGTCACCCCCTGGGAGGCAGGGAGGGGGTCACACCCTGGGAGGCAGGGAGAGGGTCACCCTCTGGGAGGCCGGGAGGGGGTCACCCCCCCCCCCTGGGAGGCGGGGAGGTGGGGTCACACACTGGGAGGCAGGGAGGGGGGTCACCCCCTGGGAGGCAGAAAGGGGGTCACACCCTGGAAGGCAGGGAGGGGGGTCAACCCCCTGGGAGGCAGGGAAGGGGGGTCACCCCCTAGGAGGCAGGGAGAAGGTCACACCCTGGAAGGCAGGGAGGGGGTCACACCCTGGGAGGCAGGGAGGGGGGTCACACCCTGGGAGGCAGGGAGGGGGGTCACACCCTGGGAGGCAGGGAGGGGTCACACCCTGGGAGGCAGGGAGGGGGGTCACCCCTGGGAGGCAGGGAGGTGCGGTCACCCCTTAGGAGGCCGGGAGGGGGTCACCCCCTGGGAGGCAGGGAGGTGGGGTCACCCCTGGGAGGCAGGGAGAGGGTCACCCTCTGGGAGGCCGGGAGGGGGTCACCCCCCCCCTGGGAGGCGGGGAGGTGGGGTCACCCCCAGGGAGGCAGGGAGGTGGGGTCACCCCCTGGGAGGCAGGGAGGTGGGGTCACCCTCAGGGAGGCAGGGAGAGGGTCACCCCCTGGGAGGCTGGGAGGGGGGTCACCCCCTGGGAGGCAGGGAGAGGGCTACACCCTGGGAGGCAGAGAGAGGGTCACCCCCTGGGAGGAAGGGAGTGGGTCACCCCCTGGGAGGCAGGGAGGGGGTCACCCCCTGGGAGGCAGGGAGGGGGGTCACCCCCTGGGAGGCAGGGAGGGGGGTCACCCCCTGGTTGGCAGGGAGGGGGGTCACACCCTGGGAGGCAGGGAGGGGGTCACACCCTGGGAGGCAGGGAGGTCACCCCCCCTGGGAGGCAGGGAGGGGGTCACCCCCTGGGAGGCAGAGAGGGGGGTCACCCCCCGGGAGGCAGGGAGGGGGTCACACCCTGGGAGGCAGGGAGGGGGTCACACCCTGGAAGGCAGGGAGGGGGTCACACCCTGGGAGGCAGGGAAGGGGACACACCCTGGGAGGCAGGGAGGGGGTCACACCCTCGGAGGCAGGGAGGGGGTCACACCCTGGGAGGCCGGGAGGGGGGTCACACCCTGGGAGGCAGGGAGGGGGGTCACCCCCTGGGAGGCAGGGAGGGGGTCACACCCTGGGAGGCAGGGAGGGGGGTCACACCCTGGGAGGCAGGGAGGGGGGTCACCCCCTGGGAGGCAGGGAGGGGGTCACCCCCTGGGAGGCTGGGAAGGGGGTCACCCCTTGGGAGGCAGGGAGTGGGTCACACCCTGGGAGGCAGGGAGAGGGTCACCCCCTGGGAGGCAGGGATGGGGGGACACCCCTGGGAGGCAGGGACGGGGTCACCCCTTGGGAGGCAGGGAGGGGGGTCACCCCCTGGGAGGCAGGGAGGGGGGTCACCCCCTGGTTGGCAGGGAGGGGGGTCACACCCTGGGAGGCAGGGAGGGGGGTCACACCCTGGGAGGCAGGGAGGTCACCCCCCTGGGAGGAGGTCAGGGAGGGGGGGGGTCACACCCTGGGAGGCACACCCTGGGAGGGGGGGGTCACCCCCTGGGAGGCAGGGAGGGGGTCACACCCTGGGAGGCAGGGAAGGGGTCACACCCTGGAAGGCAGGGAGGGGGTCACACCCTGGGAGGCAGGGAGGGGGTCACACCCTGGGAGGCAGGGAGGGGGTCACACCCTGGGGCAGGGAGGGGGTCAGGGAGGCAGGGGGGGGGTCACCCCCTGGGAGGCAGGGAGGGGGTCACACCCTGGAAGGCAGGGAGGGGGGTCACACCCTGGGAGGCAGGGAGGGGGTCACCCCCTGGGAGGCAGGGAGGGGGTCACACCCTGGGAGGCAGGGAGGGGGGTCACACCCTGGGAGGCAGGGAGGGGGGTCACACCCTGGGAGGCAGGGAGGGGGTCACACCCTGGGAGGCAGGGAGGGGGTCATACCCTGGGAGGCAGGGAGGGGGGGGCAGGGAGGGGGGTCACACCCTGGGAGGGGAGGGGTCACACCCTGGGAGGCAGGGAGGGGGTCACACCCTGGGAGGCAGGGAGGGGGTCACACCCTGGGAGGCAGGGAGGGGGTCACACCCTGGGAGGCAGGGAAGGGGGGTCACCCCCTGGGAGGCAGGGAGGGGGTCACACCCTGGGAGGCAGGGAGGGGGGGTCACCCCTGGGAGGCAGGGAGGGGGTCACACCCTGGGAGGCAGGGAGGGGGTCACCCCCTGGGAGGCAGGGAGGGGGGTCACCACCTGGGAGGCAGGGAGGGGGGTCACCCCCTGGGAGACAGGGAGGGGGTCACACCCTGGGAGGCAGGGAGGGGGTCACACCCTGGGAGGCAGGGAGGGGTCACCCCCCCTGGGAGGCAGGGAGGGGGTGGGGGTCACCCTGGGAGGCAGGGAGGGGGGTCACCCCCTGGGAGGCAGGGAGGGGTCACACCCTGGGAGGCAGGGAGGGGGTCACACCCTGGGAGGCAGGGAGGGGGTCACACCCTGGGAGGCAGGGAGGGGGACACACCCTGGGAGGCAGGGAGGGGGTCACACCCTGGGAGGCAGGGAGGGGGTCACACCCTGGGAGGCAGGGAGGGGGGGTCACCCCCTGGGAGGCAGGGAGGGGGGTCACACCCTGGGAGGCAGGGAGGGGGGGGATCACCCCCTGGGAGGCAGGGAGGGGGTCACACCCTGGGAGGCAGGGAGGGGGGTCACCCCCTGGGAGGCAGGGAGGGGGTCACACCCTGGGAGGCAGGGAGGGGGTCACACCCTGGGAGGCAGG